CGCGCGCCGGCTTGTGTCCCCCGTGGGTGCTGTCGCGGGCGCTGCCCTCGCCGCTGCTGCTGCCGCTGCTCTTTTCGCTACTGCTGCTGCTGCCGCTGCCCCGGGAGGCCGAGGCCGCGGCGGTGGCGGCGGCGGTGTCAGGCTCCGCCGTAGCCGAGGCCAAGGAATGTGACCGGCCGTGTGTCAACGGCGGCCGCTGCAACCCTGGCACTGGCCAGTGCGTCTGCCCCGCGGGCTGGGTGGGCGAGCAATGCCAGCACTGCGGGGGCCGCTTCAGGTGAGTGCGGGGGGGTTGGGGGGGTCGTGCAGGCCCAGCCAGACGTTCCAGGCCCCAGGCAGGTGCGGGACATGAAATCGGTAGGGTAGGGCTTTGCCCCACTGTGTCTGATGGTCGCTTGCCTCCTGGGAGCAATGTTCATTTGTGGCCTTGGGGTCTTCCTGTGGTGGAAGGCTGAGAAGGAATGGGAACACTCTGGAGGCATTTGTTGCTGTGGGTTAGATCTGGGTCCTGAAGAGTATAAAAGCCGGTCCCGAAAACGGGTCTATTTAAGATAAACGAGGTATCAAGGAAAAGGTGAGTGAGCCAGTTCTTCAGCACTACCTTTGATCATCCCAAGAGATTGGAGATGTAAGTACCTCGGAGAAGCACAGCCATGGAAGTGACATGTTGGATGGAAATAGAAGGGTAGGGTTGGATTGTGAGATTTTAGGATAGAAGTACCAGTGATTGTCATTCAAAGGAAAGTGATGAAACTAGTTTTTGGGTCTTCACTGTTGGGGGCATATTGGAACGGACTGTCTAGAGAGGAGATTCCTGTTAGCCCTGGATTCTCCATCACATGCAGTTACGAGTTGGCCTGGTTTGAGGCAGAACCTCTCGAAGAGATCACTTATTAATTAATTAGCATTTATCTATTACTTGCTTCTGTTGTGAAAGGATTTCTGGATAATGCACACAAGTAGATCGATTAGCCAGAGTTTGGTGTGGTCCACAAGAAGTTAGGAATACAGCAAGGGGAAGTGTTAGGTACACAGAATCCCAAGTTATAGGAACTACAGGGTCACCCATATCTTTAGCAGATATTTGTTGACTGTTCCCCGTTGTACATGGGAGAGTGAGGATGTGGTGAACATGACAAATAGGGCTCTTGCTCCAATTGATCTTATGTTCTAGTGAGGGATGACAGGCGGTTGACAAGTAAATATGCGAGGGGAATGACCAAGGTGATTTCAGAGAGTAGCCATCAACAAAATACAAACAGGTGGCCTTACAGAATCCTGGCCAGCTTAGAAGCCACTCCTTTGAGTGCTGTTTGATCTGAGACCTGGAAGGGGCACAGGAGCGCCTCTGGAAATGAAGGGGCAGAGAGTATGTGACTGGCTAGGAGTAAGCAGTGAAGATTTAGAGGAGGAAGTGACATTGAATTTGGGCCTTTGAGGATAAGTAGAATTTGCAGATGTGCAGCTGGGGAAAAGATTTCCAGTTAGAAGGAAAGATGCAGACAAAGTGGTGGAGGCCAGAAGAGGGAGTTTTGCTGGTGCCCCTGTAAAGGGAGTTGTGAGGGAGAAGTTTGGAATGTTAAGTTATTGATTGATAATGTCAGATCTTCTAGGGGACTCAGAGAACAGGGACAAGATAAGCTCTTCAGTTTTATGAATGGAGAAACCAAGTAACTTCAGGGTCAGTATTTTGTGAGCTGGTCTTACAGTTTAGAATGTTGTGATTTATGAATCTTGTTAATCTGCACGTATTAATAAGTAAGTGCTTCTGTTTTAGGCAATGAGATGTAACAGTAAGCAAGACAGATCTAATGTTGTTCTTGGGGAACTTCTAGTTTAGGAATAAAAATAAAAAAAAATGGAGCTGGAGTGATGGCTCAGTAGTTAAGAGCACTTGTTGCTCTTGCAGAGGACCTGGGTTTGGTTCCCAGCATTCACACAGTGGTTTATGACAATATGTAACTCTAGTTCCAGGGGAACCTGACCCCTTCTGACCTCCAAGTGCACCAGGCACACATGCAGGCAAAACACTTATACACAAAATAAAAATAATTCTTTTTTCCCCCCACTGAGACAGGGTTTCTCTGTGTAGCCTTGCCTGTCCTGGAACTAACTCTGTAGACCAGGCTTGCCTGGAACTCTAGATCCACCTGCCTCTGCCTCCCAAATGCTAGGATTAAAGACATGCACCACCACCGCCCGTCTGAAATAAATGATTCTTAAAAGTTCTTTAACTTTATTTTAAATCCAGTTATCAGTCTGTTGTAATTTTGCATGTCTGTGGAGGTGAAACAGCAACAGAAGCTAACTTGGTTCAAAGTGAGACTAAGACTCATCTTTCTGCTGAGATGTTCCTGAGGGCTGATGTTGAAGGGCCAAGATGGAGAATGAGTGGTACCATGACAGGTTGGAGAGAGTGACCAGAGCAGAGAGAGCAAGACTGGAGGGAGGGGTCTGGGCTATGCCAAGTAGAGGTAGGAAGTGAATTTAGAATTTTGAACATTCACCCAAGAGTGATGGAATGCAACAGGTCACTCTGTTTTCATTATAGACTTAGAGATTGGAGCCAGAACAGGAATAGCCTTGAAAGTCAGTTGACTTTAGATGGTACCAAGACCAATGGATGGAGGGATCTTCAAATTCTGAAAATCTAGGATACTCTGGTAGACACAGAGTGGGATTGTCTGTATTTTATTGTTTGGAGTACGTGGGTTTATGCTGGGCATTAGAAGTCATGGGCAGCAGATAGAGACTGTTGGTGTAGGTCAGAGACAGTGGTAATGGAGGCATGGTAGATATTTGTGTGCTGGAGAGAAAATGGTTAGGTCTTTCTTTCAGACTGCTTTGTTCTTGGAAGAGAGAGTGATGGTGAGGGGAAAAGTAGATCTTGTTTTGTGTGGTTGAGTGTGGTTGAGTGATGTCATTTACATGACACAGGGACACAGGAAGGCTGAGGTAAGCTTAGATTTATACACACTGAGTTTGGGCTGCTTGCAAGGCATGTTCCTGGCACATGTAAGTGTTGGTTGGGGTCATCTACCTGTAAAAGGGATTGCCAGGGAGAGAAAAAGATCTGAGTGTCTGCATGAACAGGTCAGAGAAGAGCCTTTTAAACAGAGGGCAGGCACTTCTGCTAATGCCTCAGATGCCCTAATACGTTATTAGTGACTGTTACGGACCTTCCATTTGAGCCTGTTCTACTTGTCGTCAGTGTGCTTTCCTGGGCAAACAATTATGCCCGCCTCTGATAATACTAGTATAGTAAATGGCTTCTGGAATGTTTAAAAGAACAAAAGGTCAGCAGTGGTGGCACGCACCTGTAATCCCAGAACTTGGGAGGTAGAAGCAGAAAGATCAGAAATTCAAAGTCAACCTGGGTCATCTGGGCTACATAACAAGTTTCAGGCCAATCTGGCCTTTATGAATCTGATTCAAAAAAAAAAAAAAGGTTAGAGAGTTGCTTCAGTGGTTGGAAGTCCAGACTGATGACCTCTTCTTACCTCTATGGGTCCTAGGCAATACACATAAAATAAATCTAAAACTTTAAAAATATAGGTGTATATGTATTCTGACAGGGTAATCGCAGCTCTTGGGAAGCTGAGGCCGGAGGAAAAGTTCAAGGCCAGCTTCAGCTACATAGTTCAGCTAGTTCAAGAGTAATGCGGGCCTACTTGAGATTGTCGCAGGAATTAAAAATAAATAAGGAAATACACAAAAGGAAGAGGAAGTTACAGTCTTTTAGTTGAATGATTTTTCCTTGGGGGTGTGTAAAGAGTTAAATGTTGCTTTGAGTACAGTAATATGTATCCTGGTTTAACTTACCTCTTTTTCTTTTCTTTTTTTAAATTAAACTGAGAGGCATTGAGTGGACACGTGTTTGACGTAGTTTTGGTTTTCATTGTAGTGCTGGGTCTTGAATCCAGAGCCTCATGTGTGCCGGGTAAAACGCTTTACCACGGGCTACATTCCACTGTGACCATTCTGATTAGAACGGCATCAAGTCAAGGGGTCTATTTTAATTTTGTGTGCCGATGGACGTGTGTGTGTGTGTGTGTGTGTGTGTGTGTGTGTGTGTGTGCGCGCGCGCGCGGAGTTGTATATACACTCAGCGGAGTTGTATATACACAAGAAGATTACTGTGTGGAGGTCAGAAGGTAAGTTGGGTTCTGAGGATTGATCTCAAGTTGTTAGGCTTGTGTGTCAAGTGCTTCTACTCACTGAACCATCTTGCTGGCCCAGGTTTTAAGACTTACTTTTGTAAGTCCTGTGTTAGAAGACTATGTAGGTCTTTTTTGTTACTTGAAAGAAATGTAGAATAATGAAGTGTTAAATTTCACTAACACTATCACTGAGTTCATATTGTGTGCCTGATTTAGGCAAGGATGTAGCACTTTATACTCAGGAAACTCAGTTGTGGTATAAAATTTGAATTATTTTATGTATATAGTAAGTCACTTTTTTTTCCTAAATGAAAGATGATTGGTTATAGAGAATAAGTTAATGGTATTAGTTCAATAAAAATAACTATAGATGGGTAGTTATTAAGGTAATATGCTTTCATTTTTATGTGAATCTTCATAATTCAGTGATCTTTTTTTCTGTTTGTGACATTACTGTTGAAAAATTTCTTGGGTGA